CTTTGCCAGGTCTCGGAGCCCCAGTGCTGAGTTACTGTCAGTGCTGATCACTGAGGTGCTTTCAAAGTCCTGCTCTGGGGGCTCCTGGCTCCATAGCGTGGGTTCTGTGTGTCTCATCATAACAGTCCTCTTGCCGAGCACACGCTGGAGAGGTTTGTTTCCCAACTATTAAACGAGCATGACAAGTTTCATCTCTAAAGATAAGGAATACATAAAACGCATAGAGGAATAAAAGCAGTAAGCAGTTACGCGATGGAGAACCCTCTGTGATATACGTGGCTGGGCAACACTGGGAGATTCTTGGGGGTTCAGCTAGCTGGTTGACTTGGGCCAAAGTGACTCTTGGAATTGTCAATACTCAATCTCTACATTTCTACAGGAGACAGAGCAGAAGGGGCAGAGAATAAAACAAGTGACAAAGCCAACAACAGTCGGGGTCTTAGCAGCAGCAGCAGCGGTGATGGCGGCAAGAGCCAAGGCAGCACGCCCCCTGAGGGCAAGGCGTTGGTGAACAGGATGAAGCAGCTGTCCCTCCAGTGCTCAAAGGGGAGAGAGGGGATTGTCGCCGACATAAAAATGGTGCAGATCGGCTGATCCACCCAAAGTCCTGGCCCACGTGCATACCGATATTTATACACAGAACTGTGGAGAACATTGTGCCAATAATCAGTTAATAGATGCCAAATCGTACGCGTTTAAACTGCACTAAGGAAGTTTCAGTGACCTTGAGGGCTGAGGATTTTACTTCTGGGTAAGAGCTCTTGAGATGGTTTGTTTTTCAGAGCAGAGTTGTTGCAGGTGGACTGTGACCAGGTTCACAGCCTCTGTGGAACATTACCTGTAACAGTGTTATGGAAGCAATAACTAGTTCCTACGCAAGAACCCGAGCCGGGAAAGGGGCTGGGAAGCTAGGCCCAGCTGGGCCCAACAGCGTGCTCCCTTCCCTTCTCTCACCCTCCATTTCTTTGGGAAAATGGAGATGTTCTCTCCTCTATATCCTAGGGAATCTAAATGAAAACAAACAAGAATACAAGACAAAACTCAAATATTCAGAACACACCGTTTGACCCAGTGAAGGCTGGAAAAAAAAAATTCAAAATCTTAATTCATTTTTATCATCTCTGGTGTTCAGAAGGGGCTTTTAAAGAATGTGTGTATGTTGGGACACTCATTAAAACCAGTTTCTATAAAGGTTACTATAAACTGCACTTTTTGGGGTGGGACGGGTAAATGCCAGTGTGGGGGTAGGGGTGGGGGGAAGAGGGTAGCAAGGACATATCATAGAAGGGGAATTGTGGCTGTGGGAGGGAAGGTTCTAGAGCATAAACCTTATCCTACAAGCCGAGGGGACTTATCCTAAGAGAAGTGCATGTGAAGAATGGTTGCCATTGTTACTCTAAATTGACAAGGTGTTAATTTTTCTGTAGGTTGTAACTTTAAAAATAAAACATTATTTAAGGGTTATGCTGCACTAGTATTTCTTAGAGGAAATTGTTTCTTAAGGCTAGAAAAGGGAGTAGGCATGTGTTGGCAAAGGCTGTTAAATAGACACAATGGAGTCTGTTATGCTAATAGTAGTAAGTGTTAACACTGCTTTTCTGTAATGTTTTCATGGTTACACGTATTTAAGAGCACTGTATTTTATTTAAGAAAAGTTGGCATTTCTAAAAGGAAAAAAGCAACCCCATTTCAAGTTAATTCTGTCACGACTTGCATATTTTACACATTTGTAAATCTCTTCATACTGTAGTGTTTTCTCCTTTTTTAATGACTGATACAGTATCCTAATTACAAGGTTATTTTGTACTTGTCTTAATACCTTGAGTGTAATAAAAATGGCTTAAGAAAATGTATGACTTTCTATGACTTCACATAAATCCTGATGTTGACTAATTCTATTCTAAGAAACCTTCTTGTCATACGAAGAGCATGGAGGTCATCTGTTCTTATTTTCAGTGAAGGTCGTGGATCCTAATAATTTAAGCCCTGATAACCAAGGACTGAATTAGAATTCCACTTTTGCTACTAAAAAGCCAAATAAGGAGACACAGTGTCAGGAAAATAAAGATAAGGTGGTTATATTGGAGGAGTGGTTCTCAACCTCTGCTTCACATTGGGATCTCCTAGGAAGCTTAAAAAATACTCTCTCTTAACCCCAGAGATTGATTTAATTGATTTGGGCATTGGGCTTTTAAAAGCTCCCCAGGTGATTCATTCTTTCTATATTTGTCTAGCCAAAATGAATCATCCCCTTCTTTATATATCTGTAGCAAAATGTTTGGAGCTCTATTATAGGATTCAACATTACAATATATTAAATTGCTCACCTATATAGATCTCTTCCATTAGATTTTTGAGGGCAGGGATTAGGTTTTATTTCAGTTCGTATCCTGTAAGAAGATTTTTAACACAAGAAGTTCAAATCATATATGTGTTTATAATAAGTACACCTCTATTTTAGATTTTTTCTTGAAAGGGCAACAGAAAATTAGTTATTCCATCTAAAATTAGTATCTAAAATCAAAAGCAGTAAGTATTTACCAAGGTGAAATCTCATTAGTATAATTATCTGCCACTGTCTTGAATGTTAACAGATTTTTTTTTATTGAAGTGTAAATTTTCAAATAATGAGTTCTTTTCTCTTTTAGATGGAACATACTAGATGAAGTCCTTTAATAATTAATTTCTCTAGGTTAAACTATGCAGTTTCCATAAGTATAAACATTTTATTTCAATTAAATGTACCAGAAATACAAAATAAGTTTTGATCATTATAAAGTAGAGACGATGAAAAATTCCACCTTACTAATTTTCAGATCTTTAAAATCGTGAGCATCATTCTTCTCTGATGGGTTTTTATGTAAACAACTGGGAATTTACACACAACAGTAGTATCTTGGCAGTTTTCCCCAATGCAACCCCAATTATCAAACATTAAATTCTCAAGTGTATTTTCTTCAGAATGCTAACCACAAGAGCACTGAACTGCAGAGCAATGAAGACTATACAAACTAAATTGTAACGTCTTCAATGTCTCAGACTACTACTTTCATCAACCTGATAAAAAAGAACTGCAACAGTGAATATTCTTTAGTTCTCTTGGAACCATGGGAGACAGGCCGCTAACGTCAACCACCTTCGTTCTTAAGCATGAGCGTCTTCATGCTAAATTAATTAGTATTTCTTACAGCTTTATTCTTTCATAACATCTGGGCAACAATAAACATTTAAAGTCCGAAATAATGCAGAATTAAAATCTGGTATGTTGACATGATTCATTTGGTAATTAGTTGCCCAAGATGTACAGTAGAGTCACAACACAAGCAGGTTTAACTTACAACATGCTCCGCCAGAAAGACAATGTCAGTATTCAGAGTATTATACCAGCCTACCACCCCACTCAGAGTCTACGTCCCTCATTGGTCTCAGGTCCCTCTCAGCAAAGACATCTCACAGTGCTGACTGAGTCTAACCTGTAACCATCTGTACTGCAATACAATGTGGCTCCTAAATGCAAGCCACCTCCACATACACACAAAACCATGTAAATGGTACTGCTAAAGTAATTGAGGGTAATTCTGACTATATACAACTCTTGCTAAACACCCTGACTTGAACACCAGATTCCACTGCAACATTTTTAGAGATTGAATTCTGTTCTGATTGTTGTGTTTCTGAGTCCTGGATATTTGTGTCCTCTTTTGAAGGGTTGATTGTTTGGTAAGTATAAAATCCAGTAATTGATGAGATTTTCCTATCACTGAAGTTGTGTTATCTTGATGGGGATAATACTATTAAAGTCCAAGAAAAAAGGTCCTTCTTGTTTAGGCAAAAAAGTACTAGGAATGATATTGTAAATCCCAGCGGGTAGATTTTCTAATTCCAGGTAGCAAAACCCACACCTATATTCAGGGAAAATAAAAACAAGGTTTATAGAAGATGATGCCACAAAAAGCAAATTATAAATCAGATATAATCAAAATGCTAGTGTTACCTGTAGTCACCACTAGACTTCCTCTGAAAGCCATGGGGACCAGGATCTCCCACCATAGAAATGGTTACAACTTCAAATCCAACACTGTATTGCCTAGAAGTAAAAAGAAACAATTACTGTTAAGTAGTCTCAAATACATACATACCTTAAAATAAGTTTACCTAAAGTTCAGATGTACTATTAAAATCAAATACATGCTTGCTTTCTAAAGCTTCAGTAGGAAGAAACATTCTGAAACACATGTATGCTGTTTTTACTCTTAATTATAGAAAACACTATATTTTAAAATTGAAGCTATAAAGATTAATATTTAACTTTAGTAGAGACTATTTTTACAAGCTCCCAGATAATGTTTAATTTCAGTGATAAAATATTATCATTGTATTAGGCAGAAAAAGAGGGACAGGAGAGAAAACCCTGAAATAAAATCTAAGTTTATGAAAGTAATTAGCATATGGTAGACATGGAATTCCGAATCAGTAGGGAAAAGATTATTTATTTAGATGATGATGGGAGTGACAAAAACTTAAAATTGTTCAATTGTAGTTCACACCAAATATAAAAATATTTCCATATGGATTAAAAAAATAGAATGCAAAAAAATAAAATCATAAAAGAACAGGAAGAAAATATGGTGAAAACGTATTTGCTATTAGGGTGAGATTTCCTGTCCACAGCAAAATAAACCAGAAAAGACAGATTTGATTACTTCAAAATGAAATTTCTATGTGGGGAAAAAAAAAATGATCTGGGAAAAATACTTGCAAATATGTGGAGTTAATATCCTTACAGACATACCCTTATTTGTGCTTACAATTATGAAAACCATGACACCACCAACAGAAAAATGGGCAAAAGATATGAACTAGGCAATAAAGGAAAAAATACACAAACATTTTTACATGTTTATCTAGAAATTAAATACAAAAGGCAATTAGATACCTTATTTCACCTATCAATAACTGGTAAAAGCTTTTAAAATGATTGGCAAATAGCTTCGTCATATCTCAAAGATTATTAGTTTCTTAAGAAGTGGTTTGTAAGGTGGGCAAAATTAAGCCTCATTTTCATTTAGAAGTACACTATTTTTATTTGTATTCTCTATTATTTTTTTTTGTAAAGATTTTTTTTTTTATTGGGGAATTGGGGTGATGGGAACAGCGCTGGGGGATTGGGGGAAGGGGAACAGACAAGTTGCTGTCATTTTGTTCTTCAGTCTAGTTGTGAAGGATGTTGCTTCACTGGCCCATGTTGGCACCATCATTGCGCTCTTCCCGGGTGAGGCAGATCAGTCGCCAGCTTCTGGACTGCTGCTCACACTGGCTGCTGGCTACATACGGTAGCCCATGGCAACCCAATGCCACAGGGGCTGCAGCCTACGCTGTCGCCGGCAACTCAGTGCAGCCCAGCTCCAGGTTGAGCTGTTGTTCAGCATCTTAGCTGTGGAGGGCAGTGTCACTGGCCCTCATATGTGGGATCCAAACTGGGGCCCTCTGGCATCCCAAGCCAGTTCTTAACCATCACACCACTCGGCCGGCCCTGTATTCTCTATTTTTAAACCTTTTAAAACTGTGATAATATAACACAACATACATAAAAACGTACAAATAATTTGTAAGGTGAACACACACCTGGGTTACCACTAGCTCAACAAAAGCCTCTGCACTACAGAAGTCGCTGTGTCCTCCTCTGATCACAGCTGTGCCCACAGAGCTAGCTTATGGTATCGCTTTCTTGCCTTGTATATAGTGTGACTATTGAAGTGTTCATCGTTAGACAAAAGTTTAGTCTGTCCTTGACTTCATGTAAGTGGAATTATACAGAATGTATTGCTTTTGTGGCTTAGGCTGCTGTGTATGGCTTCTGTGGCTTAGGCTTCTGTTTTTAAGACTTATCCCTCATGTTATGGGTAGCTATAATCTACTTTCACTGTTAGATAGGACTCTTATGATATGACTACTTTGTAATCTTAAATGCCACTAATGAACATTTGGGTTGTTTCAAATTTTTGACTCTTAGAATTGTTTATTGGCTATTTGGATTATCTTTCTTATGACATTCCTAGTCAAGTTTTTATTTTTTAAAAACTGTAGGCTTTTTTCCATTTAAAAATCTTTTAAGGTATCTCCTATATTATTAATCCATCTGGAACTGATTTTTAGAGTTGATGGGAGACAGGGGTCTAACTACCTTTTTGGGACATTGATATTCAATTATTCCAGTACCATTTATCAAACAGACTATCCTTTCCACACACCTCTGCAATACCATCTTCATCATAAATCAAGTGTCCATATACACATAGGTCTGTTTCAAAACCCTATTATGTTCCACTATGCTCATTTTTAATATTATTTAAGAAAGTTACTTATCACAAACCTTGGTCCTCTTAGCTCAATCAGTAATGGCCCAGTCTTCTCTATATGGAATTGGTAAATGGGATTATTTTTATGAGTCTCTTGGAAATTTCCACATCCTCCAGCACTCTGACCACTCCACTTTCCATTAATCTAATAAAACAAAGTTTTTGTATTAACAAAACTTCACATTCTCTAATTTTACATTAAAGACAAAACTCCTCCCCCCACCCCCAAGGCAACGCCCCACTCTGGCTCCACCCTCTCTCCAATCTACTTGCCACTGAGAGTCAATGTACCTCTCCATCTGAGCCAGGCTAATGTGCTACACTAAGCCCTAGCTCCCTCTCTCAGCCTTCAATCAAGTTGTTCTCTGCCAATAATTCTCCCTTAAATCCTATTCTATACATCTAGCCCACCCAGCAAAGTCAGTCTCAGATTCTACTTAAGAGGTTCATCCACATGGCCTTCCCAAATGACCAAGGTCTGCATTAATCT